CATGTACGTGTGGGTGTATGTACATGTACGTGTGGGTGTATGTACATGTACGTGTGGGTGTATGTACATATACGTGTGGGTGTATGTACATGTACGTGTGGGTGTATGTACATGTACAAGGGTGTGTAAACATGTACAATGGTGTGTAAACATGTACAAGGGTGTGTAAACATGTACAAGGGTGTGTAAACATGTACAAGGGTGTATAAACATGTACTTGTGTCAATGCATGTATGTGTGCTTGTGTGTGTACATGGGTACATGTAGTTTAACTGTATAGTAGCAAGTGTACAAACGTGTTGCCAAGTATCCTCTGACTTCAAATAAAGTAGAAAAAAGTACATAAACATATACAATCTTCAAAGAACCACAATTCAACCACTTTTACTCTAATTCACAAGTGACCATATTTTGGTTGCTGTGCGCCAGGAAGAAGGTCTTTGTAGTTGTGTGTGTGAATGTGTATGAGCACATGAATGTGTGTGCAAGGTTATGTTATGCATGAGTGATTGTGCATGTGAGTGTATGAAAATATGCGAGTGAGTATGAAAATATGCGAGGGAGTATGAAAATATGCGAGGGAGTATGAAAATATGTGAGCGAGTGCATGAAAATATGCGAGCGAGTGCATGAAAATATGCGAGCGAGTGCATGAAAATATGCGAGTGAGTGCATGTGTATGAATGTGTTGGAGGAGGGCATGAAAGTGCTCAATTTCAATAAATAAAAGTTTTCTTCCCGGCACTTATCACAGCCAATTGCTTTCTGATACCTAAGCGGAAACAGCACCTGTGGCAAGGTATTCCATGGGAAGATTGTATATGCTCTAAAGAAATAAATAAAAAATAAACTAAGGCTCAAAAAAATATTAAATCAGGAGGAAGGGGGGGGGGAGGGAAACAAATTCTAACTGTGACATGAACTTACCCTCAAACACACCCGGATGATATACATGCCTGCGAGTCCAGAGCAAAAGTAACTAGGTTCTTAAGCAGTAAACAGCCTTACCTTTTCCTCTGTGCTCGACTGATTAACTTGACAATTAAAAGAAATATCTTCAACATGACAATTAATGCCTGATTCTCCTTATTCAAAAGATTTATTCCATTACACAGAAGGGAACACAAAAGACTAACACAATCAAATGCAGAAAAATAATTTAAAAAAGGTTGTGTGGTGGTGGTGGTGAAGATCGTGATGGTGATGATGGTGGTGATGGCAATGGTGGTGAAGATAGTGATGGTAATGATGGTGGTGAAGATAGTGATGGTGATGATGGTGGTGAAGATAGTGATGGTGATGAAGGTGGTGAAGATAGTGATGGTGATGATGGTGGTGAAGATAGTGATGGTGATGATGGTGGTGAAGATAGTGATGGTGATGAAGATAGTGATGGTGATGATGGTGGTGAAGATAGTGATGGTGATGATGGTGGTGAAGATAGTGATGGTGATGATGGTGGTGAAGATAGTGATGGCGATGATGGTGGTGAAGATAGTGATGGCGATGATGGTGGTGAAGATAGTGATGGCGATGATGGTGGTGAAGATAGTGATGGCGATGATGGTGGTGAAGATAGTGATGACGATGGTGGTGATAACAATGGACTTACCTTCATCCTTTCCATTCTACTTATCTACAAGGCCAATTAAAGAAAAAATGATAATAATAATAATAAAAATAAAAAATAAAGGAAAGAAAAATAGATAGATAGAACCCTGATCCCGGCTCTACCTACGACCGAAGCAGAATACACTATACCTTTAAATCCTTCATAATGCGGCAGTTTTTGATGGGCCCGACAACAACAAATATCTTGTAAAACTCTTGGTCGGTGAGAGTCTGTGGCAGGTAGTTGATGATAAGGTTTGTTCGCGTTTCCCCATCGGGGAGCGCTGAGCTGGGGCTGCTAGACGACTCAAAACTCATTGTGTACTTCCTCTTCCCAAGCCTAACCTGCGTGGGTAAACAGAGAGGAGTGGGGAGGACGAGGAGGATGCGGAGGAGAGGGGAGAAACAAAAGAATGGGGATGAGTATCGGGCAGTCTGTAAGACAAATTTTGTGGTGAAAAAAAAAAGGAAAAAAAAATAATAACGAACAATAATACTGAACTGAAAAAGAATGGGTTCTTTGTACAAGCAATCACAGACTTGAAATTGAAGAAAAAAAAAAGACCATACATGGTCTTTCCGATAAACAAAACGGATTAAGGATATGACAAAAGAAAGGGGGAAGAGGATTGACTTCAGTGGAAAGAAAAGACTTTCTGTTAATTGTACAAGTCTTACACACACCCACACAAAATAAAATGCCAACTACACTAGCTTATCTACAGCCCTATAATCCCATGCTTTTAATGTGCTCTTAATTTGACGACTTAAGGCTGAAACGCAATGGACAAAATACTGGCAAATCAAAAGGACACCTAATTCAAGATAACCATCTATAAAACCCTACTTGCCGTGAATAGCTTTGGCATTTCCTTCCCTTCCACTGAAAATCGCAGATAAAGAAACTAAATCCAACAATGAACAATTTAGTCGGCAGCAGTACTGTCGAGCAATCGCCATGGCCTCCACAGCATCAGCAATCAAGGAAAGGCCACCTTACATCCCCCGTAAATATCCTGGCGAGATGCACCCCGACCTCTTTAATATATAATAATCTACAGACAAGACCTCACTAGCATCTCCTGGGGTTTTTGTCATCCTCAGCTTGAAAATGAAGTGAAGGTTTTGATTAGCTGGTCGTAATGTAGCACTACATGACCGGTTGTTCACTGGCAACGTCCAAATATCTTCTTGACTTGCAGTCTTGAGCAAAGAGTAACCAAGCCTTCGCAAAATGAAGAGGTTTACAGCCATCAGGTAATGAAGAGGGGATTCAAACCAAGACGGCCTCTGGAACCAGGGCCTTTTCTCGTAAACCACAGCATCCCGGCCGAATCTACACTCCCTCTCTAAACAAATCTCAAAAAGTCCAAACCTCGAGTTGCATCACCTCAAATGCTCAACTCGGTCTCCGTGCCTCCAGGACTCCGACAAAGGCTACCAGAGCTCCTCAAACCTACATTCAACACAAGACAAGCACTTAAGCTGGTTCCATTACTGACATTACATTGCCTCGGACACCTGTAAACCTCACCATCTCTCAATCTACGTGGTGGATGTTCATTTACCTTTCCTAAGGCACCAACACTCACAAACTGACGGCAAACTTATAAACATGTCAAGACAGATCTACCTTGACGAGTACTGCTCTCCTACGCATCTAAACGTACGACAACGACCCTCGCTAAGACAAATTTTAAAGAGGAAATCTTAAAACTCTTAAATCTTCACCTGCACGACAATCATCACAAGGAATTAAATCGCCACGAACGACTCTCCACTGACGACAAAGCTTGAGGGAAGTAAACACGAACTGCGGCGCCTAAAATCACGCCGCAAAAATCACACATTTTACCCCAATATCCTATAATACAAACCAATCACTAACAAGAGGAATAAAAACATGACAATTAAAGATAAGATAAAATACCTTTGCCTCAATACAATATTAACAAATTTGAATAAGAAAAAAAAATATTACTACCACCAAAAAAATCCTGAAATAAATACAAAACACACAACAATTACAGGCACAGAGAAATCCAACAAGAAAGAAAAAAATAATAAAAAAAATAAAAAAAACCCTCCCCACGTGGACACGAAATCTCAAACACTCGCTTCCACGCTGCTTAAAAACACACTCAATTACCAAAGGAATCACCACCTTTCTCCTCCTGTTTCCTGACCTATTCCCCCTCCTTATCGGCCGTTCTCCCTCTCCCTCTTTATCGGCCGTTCTCCCTCTCCCTCTTTCTCTAGCCAAGGGGGGGGGAAGGAGCAAAAAACGCCAAAAACCCGCTTAAAAGCCTGAATCCCCGGGGCAGGAGGCGAGGCGAGTGCGAATTCCGGCGAAAGGGCGGCGAGGGAGCAGGCCGAGGGCGAAGGGAGGGCGAAGGGGAGGCGAGAAGAAGGAAGAGAAAAAAAAGAGAAAAAAGAACAAGACGAAAATTCGCGTCCGACTCGAGGCTTCGGCGCAGCTCCACTCCCTCCAAGCCCCGCCAGCCCCTATTTTCCGCCCTTTCCGCCCCGCCGACGCCCTCCCGCGCCTCTCCCACCACTCCGCCTTCATCCCAGGGCCAATATCCACATCCCCGCACAACACCCGGGCGGAGGAAGTCGGATTTACTTGCCTAAATTAACAAAAACATGTAGCTTTCGGAGGCGAGAGCGATGCCGGGTGGACGCGCGTGGGGCACACAAACATTGACTCACGCGTGCCACCTCTCCGATACTCCGACCCTCGATTTTCGCCCGGGGCTCTTCTCTCTCGTGGTTTTCGACGGGCTGTAAGTTCTGGATGGGGATTCTTTCGTTTTTCTTCGTGAGTTGGTGGATTCCCGAGTGGAGGGATTTTGTCTAAATAGGGCTATCGATTTTGACGTGGCATCGCTGCTCTTCATAGAAAATGGTGAAGGAGGGAGTTTCTAAATAGCCTTTTCGCGTGAGTCTTTTTTTCTCAATAATATCTCGAGAAAGGCTGATGTTTGCTATTTTAGCTACGTTATTCCTATATTCGTTTTCATTCTAGTTTAATTTGATGTGAATTTGAGGCGTTACCGTTGATACTTAGTAGCATTTAATCAACGGATTAGTAAAGTCTGGCAGCTAAAACAACTGAAAGCTACTTCGTTAAACTCCGCTAACATGCATATAAAAATCACCTTTGTGAAATTAATACGCAATGACGTCAATATCTAACCATTTCATAATTTCAGATATATTATTGTTTCAATATCTGTTCAATCCGATTCGTTAAATTTGAATTAAAGTACGCTTCCCGTTATCCTCATGGTCCTTATCTCCAAGCCCAGCACACCGACTTTGTCCTTGTACTCTTCCATTTTAACATCTCTTTGTTTCTCGTTCTCCGACGTCCTTTGCCTTTGACCCTGGCATTGGAACGTTTTTATCTAAATATAATATCTTAGAATCATTAAACAATATTTCCCAAAGCCAAAACCACCAATTTTAGGCGTTTATCGCATTTATCATTCTGATCCCTCATAGCACAAGTGCCGGATCCTAAAAAAAAAGAGAAAGACACATTTCTCGGCGTCTTTTTGAATATCACAATGAACTAAACACATATATATTTTCATACCTCACTACAGTTAGTTTAATTTTAATATAATATACTACACAGCCTGACTAGAAAAAATATATATATGGTAATTTTGCACACACGCTCCCTCGTTCTAACGACCAAAGGGCCGGTTTCTTTAGCATAGGAACAACGTGTTCAGTTCCTCCTGAAAGCCATTCATGCAATATATGCATTAAACATTATTATTTATATGCTTTTTGATGCAGAAGGACAATGTCGGGGGTGGAAAATGAATATCCAAAGCCCCATGTATATATTACCTGAGTAACAGTATCATGAAAAAAAAACTGAAAAATAACGTTGCCACATTTATTAAGTTGTAGATTTATTTGATGTAAAAAAAAGAGAGAGAGTTGGCAGGAAATTACTATCATCATTTTTGTCGTTGTTCTCTTTGCTTTTATCTTTCTTTATCATTGCTATTAACATCATTATATCACAATCGTTTATACCATTACTAGAAAAAAATATATTCACACTATAGTCAGACTGCTATAGGAAGCTATTATTACTACTATCATTTTATCTTTTTTGATGTTGGTGTTATCGTCATGGACTTTCTTTTGGTTATCACTGTTGTTGTTGTTGTTAATGTTATTATTTATTATTAGTAGTATTAGTATTTATTATTATTATTATCATTATTACTATCATCATCATCATAATCAGTATTGCTGTTATCATTATTGTTGTTATCATCATTATAATCATCGTCATCATCTTTATAATAATTGCATCATTATTATTATCATCATCATTATTATTATTGTCATTATTCTACTATTGGTATTATCATTATCATTATTATTACTACTATTATTATTATTATTATTATCATTATTATTATTATTATTATTATTATTATTATTATTATCATTATTATTACTGTTGTTCTTGTTGTTGTTATTATCATTATCATTATCATTATTATTATTGTTATCATGATCACCATCATCATTATTATCATTGTTATTGTTATTATCACTTATCATCATTACTTTTATTATCATCGTTATCATTATTATTGTATCTATTATTATCATTGTTGTTATTGTTATTATAATTATCATCGTTATTATTATTATTACTATTGTTATTATTGTTATACCCATTATTATTATTTTCCTTATTATTATTATTATTATTATCATCATTATTACTATTACTATTATCCTTATCATTATTACTATTAGTATTATTATTAAACCCATTATTATTATTATTATTATTATTATTATTATTATTATTATTATTATTATTGTTATTATTATTATTATCATCATTATTATTATTATTATTATTATTATTATTATACCCATTATTATCATTATTATTAGAAGTAGTAGTATACGCACTGCTGCTACTACTATTATTATTACTATTATTATTATCAATGCCATTATCATTATTACCATTAGTGTTGTCATCACCAACATTCTTACTATAATATTCATGATATAAGTATCGTCATCACCGCCTCCTTAATCATCATCAAAAAGATTATCATTATTATCATTATCATGGTCTCCATCATCTTTATCATCATCATCATCATCATCACCTCCACCATCATCATAAGCATCATTATCATTATCATCATTATATTCATTATTATCATTATCATTATTACTGTTATTATTATTATGTGTTATGTATTATGATGATGATGATGATGATGATAATGATCATCATCATCATCATCATGACCATTATTATGATTATCTTTATAATATCATCACCGTTCTTCTTATCATTATCATCATTATCATTGTCACCATCACTTTCATTATCATCATCATTATCACCATCTTCATCACCACCCCCATCGTCATCATCACCATCATCAGTATCTTCAACATCATTAAATCATCATCACCATCACCACAAATATCATTATCATCATCACCATCATCATTGCCATTATCATCAGCTTCATCATTTCCATCTTCATCACCATCATCATTATTATTATTATTATTATCATCATCATTGATATTGTTATTATTATTACCATCATTATTATCACTACTGTTATCGTTGTCATTATCATTGCTATGTTATGATTCTTATTATTATCATTTTGATTATCATTATAGTTGCCATCATCAAACACCATTATCATAATATTTATAACATAAGTTTACAAAATAAGAACGCAATCTGCCAAGCGCGAGCGAACACAAAACAAATTCGAACAACATATGCTGTTTAATCAGGACATAAACAATGTGCTGTTTTATTTAAAAAATAGTAACAATATACTCCTTTCTTTTCTGTTCGAATTGACAGTAGAAATGTATATGTATTTGTTTTTAGCTCTGTGATTGTTTGAAATAATAATAGCAAGGCAAATAAAAATACATTCCACTCTTTTCTATTCGAAATTAGCAGTAGAAACATTTTTATCCCTGCGTACCAATTTGTTGGAATGAATTTGAATATCATTATACCCAGCGGTTATTACAGTTATTATTATTAGTCGTATCATTACTGTTATCATCATCACAGTCATCAAAATGGTTATGCCGTTATGATTGTTATCATCATAATTATCATCAATAATGCAATTATTGTTATGATCATTGTCGTCATTATTACAGTCTGTTTTAATTATTTTCATCGTTATTGTTATTATTATCATTATTAGTTCTCATTAATGTTCTCTACTATTATCAATATTATTTTCGTTATTACCAGTACTATAAGTGGCATTACTATCACAATCATTATCATCACATTCGTTTTCACTATCATTAGCAATCGCATTTATATAATTAGTTATTATCACTGTATCATGTTAATAGTACTCTCATTAATGTTATAGCTGTTATTGCAGTTACCGAAATCGTTTTGATTCTTAAGAATTATCATTACGTTTTTATTCTCATTATTATTTATCATTATCTATCATTATGGTTTTATCATTACCATTTTTATCATTATCAGCGCCGTGCATATCATCACTGTTATTGACATCGTCGTGACTGCATTGTTGTTTTTATCCTATTTATGATTTCCTAACAACTGTTATTATTATTGTGTGTGTGTGTGCTCATGCGTGCGTGCGTGCGCGGGCGTGTGTGTGTGTGTGTGTGTGTGTGTGTGTGTGTGTGTGTGTGTGTGTGTGTGTGTGTGTGTGTGTGTGTGTGCGTGTGTGTGTGTATGTGTGTGTGTGTGTGTGTGTGTGTGTGTGTGCGTGTGTGTGTGTGTGTGTGTGTGTGTGTGTGTGTGTGTGTGTGTGTGTGTGTGTGTGTGTGTGTATACACATATATTTGTACATATATGTGTATATATGTATGTATATTTATATATCTATATATAAATCTATCTATACACATATGTATGTATATACATATACACACCTACATACACACATATGTATATATATATACCTATATATACATATATATATATATATATATATATATATATATATATATATATATATATATATATATATGCATGTATATGTATGTGTATATACATACATGAATACGTACATACATATATATATGTATATATATACATATATATATATATATATATATATATATATATATATATATATATATATGCGCATTTATGTACATATATACATATACATATACATACATACACGTACACACGCACACACACACACACACACACACACACACACAGTAGTATGGTCTAGAAATGTTATCCCTGCCGTTTGTTCGGTAGGAATAAACTTCCGCCAGACATATTCTGCATCTGCCGTGAGCTATACACACACACACATACACACACACACACACACACACACACACACACACACACACACACACACACACACACACACACACACACACACACATATATATATATACACATATACACACATATATATGTATGTATATGTATATGTATATATATATATGCGTATGTATTCATTATATATCATTGTAGATATCCTATGACCTACTCTATCGAACAGCGGAGTAGTATGGACTCCACACTTTAAAAAAAAAATATATATAGATGAACCGGAAAGAGTTCTCAGGGAAGCCACAAGATGGGCACGAACTCGAAGAAAAGAAAAAAAAAAGAAACACGAAGATAAATTACAGAAAATACGACTTATTACTTTGAATAAACAAAAAAAATGAAAGAAAAGGGGACGTCATGATTATGCTGTTGAACCATGTTACAGGAAGAGTAAAGTGTGATGAAGATTATCTTTATCTTTTTAAACACAAGAAGAACGAGAGGACACAGTCATAAATAGATAAATAAATAAGTAAATAAAATAAGTAGAAAGGAAAGTAAAAAAAAAAAAAATACGATTTAGGATGCCAAGAAGTTCATTTTTTTCCCCGCAAATAACTGTTGAAACACGGAACGATTTCCCTTGTCACGCTATGTGTACAAAAAAATGTGCATTCATTTTAAAAGTTATGTGATAACTTAGACAAAGCAGACGGGATCCCCTTAGCTTTGAAATTTTCCTGTATTGAAACAACTATTGGAGAACAACAAGGTAAGAATACGCACACGCGCACACAAACAAACAAACAAGCATACACGCACATAACACACACACTCACACACACACGCGAGCACGCACGCAGATACACACACAAACATACGCACACACACACGCACGCGCACACACACACACACACACACACACACACACACACACACACACACACACACACACACACACACACACACACACACACACACACACGGCTTAGCTCATAGATGTAGGCCTATGTAATGACATATATTTTCTTCTCGATGTTGCAAAAGATTTGTATTCAA